TACCAGTCTCTTGTCTGATTTTCAAGATCTTGTTTTCTAGACAATAACATATGCTTTTCTGCTATCTACAGTAAAACAAGTGCTTTGTCTACAATTAGATCATGTAATTGATGATTTTTTTAAAGAAAAATGAGATAATAGCATGTCTTTTTTTATTCGTTTCTATAGTTATTAAATACTGCGATAGTTCTCTTTTTTCCTTTTAATTCTCTTATTGATCTAGAGTATCGCTGACAATCAAGTAGGGAAAAATCTAAAAATCAGGAGAAAATATTGAAAATCAGCTCCTGAAACCAGGAGATTTTCTATCAGGATAGCAGTCCAAAAATCAGGAGGTTTGGCAAGCCTGGTCCAAATGGAAAACATTTAGCTGTTGAATATCAAAATGAAATTATTAATATGTTTTCTATTGCACAAAATGAAACAACAGTCAATTTTCATGGACATAAATCAACTATAATTACATTCACATTTACACAAGATTCAGCAACGTTGATCTCAGGATCGAAAGTATTGAAAAAATAAAAGTGTCATATTCAATAAAACAATTTTCTTTCTTTTTTTTTATAAGGATACAGATATTATCGCTTGGGATCTTATTACTGAAGCTGGACTTTGTCGTCTTCGAGGTCATAAAGCACCTGTAACAAAAGTTATTATTATGGCTAATCAATCAATACTTATTTCAAGGTATTGTACTATTAAAAATGATCGTTTTTCTAGAATGTGAAATTGCTTTTTAGTTCAAAAGATATGACAATAAAATTCTGGGATATGACTATTCAACATTGGTTTCATACAATTGTTACACATAAAACAGAGGTTTGATGTCATTATTTTGCTTTTAAATTTTAATTTAGTTCTATGTGTTTTTCTTTTTGAAATATAGATGTGGAGTATTGGTCTAGCACATGATCGATATTTAATTACTGGTTGTTCAGATAATGAATTACGATTTTTTGCTTTAAGATCTACGGCAACAGTAATGAGATTTCTCGTTTTTTTAAAGATATTGATTATTGAAATTTATTTCTTTTTAACATGAAGATGATGCTTATATGTTTCATCCAATGGATGATGAAAAGATGAGCGAAGACCAGGTAAATATACTGAATTAAGATGATCGATATTAATTTAAATTACAATTTATCCTTTGGAAATTTGTTAATTCTGCTAGTGCTAACATTCTAAAATCAGAAAGAAATTTTTGAGAATTATTTCAAATATAAGAAGTTTTATAAAGCTTACTACGGTATATCAACATACAAGTAATGCAAAATTTCTCGTGGGTGTGGGTGTGAGTGTGGGGTGTGAGTGTCTTATCTCCTCTACCCTACACCCACACCCTCGTTTTAACAAGGCTTAATTTTTTTTCTTACTTGAGCACATGATATTCGAACGAGCTTATCTGAAAGATTTTTATGAATCACGATAAAGAAGATGACAGAACAAAAAGGAAAAAAACAATATTTCTTAATCAACTATACTCAAATCAGTCTCACACGATTTTACTAATACATTCTCATGAAAATATTTTACATTAAATGAAACCACTATCTACTGTCTTTTTTTCCGTTGTTCGGTATTTGTTTCTTCGCATGTTTATGAAGATCTATTGTATACAAGCTCATTTCTCAGCTGTACAATCAATTTTCGATGAAACTATATATTATTTGATTTCTCTTTGAAATTCTTGTCTTTATTCTTTTTCTTTTGGGCGTGGGGTGAGGGTGTCTTATCTCCTCTACCCTACACCCACATCCTGCTAGTAAGATCAAGTCGAGTAAGATTAGGATATTCAATAATTGATAACATTTGATTATCATTATTTGATTTTGCAAGTTGTTTATTATTTTGTGCTTTTAGATTCCTTATTGTTAATTCTTTCATC